CTTGTTATGTCTTTTTTGCATATCTTATGCTTTACATACAAGCCATATCAGCCATATTAGCTGTATCTATATTTTGAGATAACTATTCATGCGTCATGGGCTTTTAAAATCATGGCATCATACATAACAACTTATCTCACCGATTCATAATTTCTTAATTATTACTTTTAAATCATAATATCATCAAATACCGGTATTCTTCGATAAAAAAAATCAGTAGTACATAACAGTTTTGAATAGATATCAAATAATGAAAATCCTTGTATTCTTTAAAGAAAAATATTCTAAAATTACCGCTCATATAGCTTTAGATGGTATTTCCTAACAAATCGTTTTGGAAAATGTGTACAGTATGAATAGGCATTATAAAAGTCACAGTTCAACTTTTTTTCGCTATTCGACAGTACTTTTCCGCGATAGGTCTATATATGAGTGAAAATTCTCGAATGGGACGTTAAACAACATACAATCAATCAAAGTTTTCCGCGACAAGTCTTACTGCTATTCATTCGATTAAAGCTTTTCCGCCATATGTAAACCATATAAACCCTCCCCCGTTTTTTATGGAAAGATAGAAGTTGTAATTGCGACTTTGTATACTTTTCCTACGCTGCATAGAGAAGAAACATCGCCATTCTTTAAAACATTGACTTTTCTATACTTGTATTCATCGTATAATTTATATCGGTTCACATGTTTCACTTTTTGTTTTAATATGAAAGTTTCCTATCACCAACCAGTGTAAAATGCGAAATTCATTCAATTTTTATCACACTCACGTGAATTTGTACTTACTTACTCGTGTGAGAAAATAAAGGTAAATATTGACAACTCTTTGATGCCAAACATTACCCGCGGCCATTTGAGAATTACAGAAAGGAGAAATCAAATTAAAGAGAAAAAATATAGTAAAAACGGTAGTAGCCTTAGAGTAATGATATAAAATTTCACTGCAAGAGCTCAAATTACAGTCGGCTGGACGTATAAAAGTTCTGTCAATTCCAAATTAATATCCTCCATTTTCAGTAAAATCGGGGGCAATTTATGCACCGGTTTGGTAACTAGATCATCTCTATCAATTTATTATACTGTAGTAAGGTCAGAGTAATAAAATAAAAAGCTATTGGTTGTCATTTTGGTCAGTTAGGTGATACATTTATTCCATGCAATTCATGCTTTTCACTTTCTAGCCCGACCTTGGTCCTGATACATTTAGCAGCAGGTTAGATTTCTCTTACTAATTTTACTAATTTTGTTGTTTAATTAATTCTTTATACTTTTGACTATGACATTCAAAGTTTATATAAAGTTTATCTAAAGCTTAAGATTTGAATAAATTAATTATTTTTGATTAGTAAAAAGACTTATTGGTTTTAAATAATATGAATGTTAAAAACTACATTTAATTGTGTATGCAGCACCTTGAACTGTTTTGTATTATTTTGATGACTAGGTGCTGGGTTACCATATGACTTCATGTAAATCAATTCTGATTTAGTAAGCTTACAGACACATTGTCTTTGGTAAGAACATGTATTATATATATTTTAGATATTTTTAGATATTTTTATTACTTTGAATTAGTTAATGAAGCTATTGGTTATAAAGTATGTTTGACAAATATTTTTAATCTACCAAGCTTAATTACCAAAATCCATTTTTACCTGTATTTTTACGTTTTATCTGTAAAGCCCTATGAATCTGTTCAGTTGAAATTAAGAGTTATTGCCCTTTATTCAGAGTGCTGTACATATTGTATTTATCATGAAGAAAAGTATAATGTTGAAATAATGTCATACCATTGTATTTCATGTGATATATATATATATATATATATGTCTGTTTATGTTTGTAAATACTTGCTTTGCAGATTTACACGTATTTATAATATATTTTCAATTTTAGGGTTCAGTCCATCAAGATGTACTAAATAAACAAGTAAACCCATACAACAGTCTTATTCTTATTGGACCTCTAACAGTAGTACTAGTAAAAGCAAGGTTAAATGAAGGGGAAAGACCTGCTATGGGGGAGGTCTGATTCTAGGACTAGTGGTAGGGTAGGTCTTCCCGAACGGAAGTGGGGCTCTAGAATGATACTTCCTCGGAGATTCTCTTGCTGTAGAGTCATGAATCCCCCAAGGGTAAGTCTCACTCTAGAGCAAAACATCAGGGGAAGTCTCATACTGGAACATGACTTTCAGGGAGAAGTCTGACTATGAGGGAAGACTCACTCTACAACAAGGGCCATA